TGCCCGCCGAGGATGGGCCGCAGGACGGGGAGGGGGAATTTGAGGCCCTGACGGGCTCTCGGGAGGAAACGTGAAGGATGCGGGGCCTCCGCCTGCCTCCCAAGGAATTCCCAGCTCGGGCTGGGAAAGCAGGAGGTCACAGCCTCCACGTGGGAAACCGACAGTCCGAGGATCGGCATCTCCCAGCTGGGACAGCGAGGAGCTGCCTCCTGGATCTGCAGGGCTCACGGATCGCTGTGGGGATCCATGAGCCCACCCGGGAGCATCCCAGGGTGTCTTGGATTTGGGATACAGCCCCCTGCCCTGAGGGGTGACCCCACAGACCCTTGTGCCCAGTCCCAGTGTCCCCACGAGCACGGGGACATTCCCACCCAGCCACTTCCAAAAATCCTTTACTCCCGTCTCCGTGGGCAGCACAGGGAAAAGCAGTGCCGGTTGTATCCATTCCACATGGATCCTGGCATCCTGCAGGGTTTGGGAATGAAGACACAGACACCTTCTCACCCCCAAAATCCCCATCCTGCTGCTGGAATTAGGCTGGGAAAGAGAATTTCCCACCGGGCTCCTCCTCTCCATCAGGTTTGGGAAGGAGCCGATGGAAATTCCACCTGCCTGCCTCCAACCTGGAAAGGGCTTTCCTTCTATGGCAAGAGGAGACTTTCCAAAACAGGCACCAAATCCAAGGCTCTGCTGCTTTATCCTCCCTCTTCCTGTCTCCAAGTGCCTCTTGGACCAAACTCAAGCAATAAAGAACACAATTCCAAGGAAACCTGGTGTGAGGGGAAGGTGACGGGGAGCAGCCTCAGGAAAGGTTTATCTGGGATCCGATCACGGCAACACATCCCGGTGCTCCTGTTATTTTTGACATTGGAGGAGTCCCGTTTCCCTCCACCTGTCTCCAAGCTGTTCCGGTGTGGTGGGAAGCTCATGGATCCGAGGTCTGGAAGTTGACGGAGGTTTCCGACCGCGCAGCCGCTTTTAATCCTGAGGGGTTTGGGTTTGGGGGCTGGGAAGCAGCCAGAGCTCCCACCACATCCTCTCTGGAGCTGGCAGCGGAGGATTTCCCCCCCTTTCCCACTCCACAGTGGCTATTTTGGACACGTGGAGCATCCTCAGCTGTGGGATGTGCAGGAGCTGTCAGTGCCACCCCTTCCAGCAGCGCAGCCTGAGGATGCTCCTACCTTTCCAGCAGTAATTCCAGGGATTTAGGGCTTGGCAGGAGCTCGTCTTGCTCTTCCCTCTTGGATTCAGGTCTTCCCGACAGGTCCAGGCTGTCAATCCCTCTTCCCACCCACTGTGGGACTGGGAAGCAGAGTACCCCAGAATCCCACGAATTCCCAGGAACACAGTCCTGGAATGCTGGGTGGCTCCCAGCCCCTCGTGCCATCAATGTGGGGGTGCTGCTGCTTTTCCTGGGAAGACATTGCTGCTCCCTAGCAGGAATTATCCATCACCTGGGGGGCAGAGACCCTCAGAATTCCAAGCCCTGGCTCTAAGCGAGATCCAAAGCCACCAGCTCCATGTAAACCCACACCAGCCCATCCATGCCTGGCAGGAATTGGGATGCAGGTGGCTCTCGATGCCACCCCCCTGTCTTTATGGCCGGGATCAAATCCAGGAGCTCCTACACTTGGGAAAGGGGGGATCCTGCCTCCCTGGGGTCTTTTCCCACCCCCCAGTTTTTTTCCAGCCCTGTTTTCCACACCCTGGCTGGGGAAGGAGCTGGATCCTGTGACGATCATGGTGACACCAGGACCAGGAGCTGCTGCAGTCAGTGGGAATCTGACAGATTCCTGCTCCGCTCAGGTATTTTGGGAATGTTGGCACCGGCGAGCCCCGGCTCCTGGGAATGCATCATCCATACGTCTGTCCCTATATATATCCCTGCCTCCTCTGCCGGCCCGGCGTGTGCCGGTTTGTGGCCTCTCCACAGCCGGGATCATGCTGCTATTCCCATCTGCTCCCGCTGGCTGCCAGCTCAAAGGAGCGGGACTGGGAATTGCGGCGGCTCCGAGCAACAGGAGCGCTGGGATTGCTGCGCTTTTTGCCGCTTTCAAAGGTTTCAGGTGAAAAAAGAAACCTGGTGCCGGTGTGGGAGCCCAGGCAGAGCAAGGCCATCAGAAGCTTAGGAATGCTGAAATGCTGGAATTCCAGAGTTTGGCTCAACTGGAGCCAGAGCCAGAGTGGGAGCAGCCACCTCCCCTCCACCCGGCTGTGGGCAGCCCCCGGACAGTCCTGTCCCCTGCATCCCAGGGCCTGAAAGGTGCATCCAGAGGGATTTCATCTAGGACATGGAGGACACGGCTCTCTTGCCATCCCAGAGTTTGGAATTTCTTTTATTTATTCAAGAGCAACATTCGCTGAATTATTCATTGGTCACCGGAGCCTTTGCGGTGGCTCCCGGACACGTTCCCTGTGGCACCTCCCAGGATACGGTTTCCTGCCTCTTCCCACCCTCCAGGACCACATTCCAGTCCCTACCCAGCACTTCCAGCCCCAAGGAATCCGTCCTAGGCCTGGATGGAATGGGAAGTCTGCCCTCAAGTTGTCACCCGGCTGGAGGTGTCACCGTTGTCCCCAAAGCCCCCAGGGGGATCCCAATCCCAGCAGGATCCCCCCATTTCCAGCCACCCCTCCTTGGAGCTTCTTCCCGGAGCTGCTCTTAGTGAACCCTCGTTAACTACCCTCGTTAACTGCCCTGGGAAGCCTCAGGATTTGCCAGAGGCATCCTGGAAACCCCGGGATGCTGTGGGATAGGGGCTGTCCTTGTCCTTTCTGCAGGGACACTTCGGAGGGTGTTCCTTGTTTCCTTTGCCCCCCAAGATGTGTCCCTTTCACCAGGAGGTCCCCTAGCATGGCCTGTCCCAACCTTGGGAATGTGGAGAGGGATAATCAGTGAGTGGGGGGTGGTAGTCAGTGTTTTCAGGGGGATACTCAGGGAACTGGGGGGATGCTCGGGGTTTGGAGGGGTATATCACTGTTTTGGGGGTATACTCAGTGTTTGGGGGGAATACTCAATGCTGGGAGGGGATACTCGATGTTGAGGGGGATAATCAGGGAGTGGAGGGGATACTCAGGGCTTGGGGAGGATACTCTGGGAGTGGGGAGATGCTCAGGGAATAGGGGGATGCTCAGTGCTGGGGGGATGCTCAGGGAATAGGGGGATGCTCAGTGCTGGGGGGATGCTCAGGGAATAGGGCGATGCTCAGTGTTGGGGGGATGCTCAGGAATAGGAGGATGCTCAGTGCTGGGGGGATGTCCAGTTCTGGGGGTCTCTCGGTGCTGGGGGGCTGCTCATCCAGATTTCCCATCCCCGCTCCGGGTGGGATCCGCCCCCAAGGATCTGCCCTACCGCTCCCGCGATCCCGGAGCCGAGTCAGGTTGGCAGTTACTGACTGTCCTTTATTACTGAGAGCGGGGGCTGCCTCCAGAAAACGAGGGGCCCCGCTCCCCAAAAATAGGATTCCACCAAGGAGACGCCCCGACCCGCGCGCCCCTTCCCTGGCATCGCCAGCCGGGCACCCCCCGCTCCCGCCACTCCTCGGCCGGGGCCGCGCTGGGATCTTTAGTTGGGTGGGTTTTTTTACCTTTATTGTTTTTCTCTTTTTTTTTTTTTGTCTTTTTCTGCCTTTTTTTTTTTTTTTCTTCTGTATTTTACACACCAGTTGGATGTTACCGTCACATGAAGAAGAGAAATACCTGAACAAGATCACGGCTACGAGCTCTAGAGTTAAAAATGAACACACAAAGCCCCCCCGGGGAGCCCGACCGCGGACGAGGAATCCGGCCTGGAAAAGCGGGATGGGGCGAGGGAGGGGCTCGGCACAGTCCCCTCGGCTCCGTCTCCTTCCCCAGGCGTGTAAATCTCTTCTTTTATGGTAAAAAAAGAGAGAATCTGACAAAAATACAAATGTCCCTAAAAGCGTCGTTATTACTGAAGTAGCAGAATTATGACTTTCTCTCCAGATTGTCCAAAATCGTCTAAATCGGGGCTGCGGGAGGGGTTGTCCCGCGGCCACCGTGTCCCCAGCTGGCTTGTCCCCACCGTGGCAGGGATGTCGCCCCTCGGGAAAAGGGACCGAGCGGCCGGGAATCCCGCGGATTTTGGGGGGTTCTGGTGCAGGTTCCCCTCCTTGCAGCGGAGAATCCCCTGGAGCACCTCGGGGGGTGTCCCCCGCTCCAAGTGCCCGGTGTCACCGTGAGGGGCTCTACACGGGGGGGGACACGCTGTGACGATGGTGACGTGGCCTCGGTGGCACCCGGAGGGGTGTGGGTGTCCCCGCCGCGGGCGCGGGAGGGGAGAAGGGCGGGGGGAGCCGCGGGGGGAGCAGGAAGACTGAGGATGATCCGTCGTCCACCACGCGGGGTGACCCCACTGTCGCTCCTCCGCGACCCCCGTCGGGTCCGTCCCCATTTTGGGGGGCCCCTGTCCCGGTGGAGGGGGATGTGCGTCCCAGGGGAACTCAAGGATGCTGCTGGCGCCGATCCCGCCGGGCTGGAATGCCGCCGGCGCAGGGAATGTCGCCTGCCCGGGGTGGGCACGACAGCGCTCGCTCCACCCCTTATCCCCAGTGGTTCACGGGGGTCCGGGATCATCCCGGCTGGAGAGGGAATTCCCTGGGGCCCGGCATCCCCCCGAGGGGCCGCAACCTGCCCGGGGA